CCATCTGCTCACAATTTAGTCAGATTCCAATTGAAAAGATCAAAGATCAAACGTTTATCCAGCTTGCTGAGCATGACGCATTCCAATTACATTGTTTGCTGGGAAAGTTTTTTTTTTTAATATACTGAATAAATGTACTGTAAAATAAGATTAAATGTCCTGCCTGGCACATTTGCACATGACAGTACCCAAGTAACAATTTTGGTTTTATGAGGGTTTTGTAGACCATGATTTAGACATGTAGAGTTCTTTAAAGCCTCAATAAAACTTGCAATGTTACTTGGGTAGAATCGGTTGAATGAAGTGTGTTACGGTTAGTACAGTACAATATCAATTGTTTATGAGAAAGTTAAATGATACTAAGAGGTAAGCACATATCATTGGCGAGAGACGTGTGTGTGTGTGAGAAAATTTGCGAAACAATCTAAAGGCGGTGGGATTCGAACCCACAATTTCCATGATTTATTTGGCTGATGACATTTGAGTTTCGAATCCGTTTCCCTCACTAGTATTTTTGTACAAGCGATATCTAATACACAACAATCGTCCGTGTGTTATACAATTACATTTTAAACTGAAACTTGAAAAAAAAATAATCAAGCAAAAATGAAAAAAAAAAATACCAGAAGAGATCTTCCCCTAAGTAATAGTCCTCTCCAGCCGCATATAGTATATTAAGGTGATTCAAAATATCGATTATGCTCCACCTAGCTCAATGGATTCTAAAACTGGTCCGGATCATTGTCACATTTGGTTACGATCTCATACTGCACCGGCCCCCTTCAAAGTTTATTTTGGACTTATTACGCGAAAACTTTACGAAACTTTGTTCCCCACCGCTTTTACGATTTTTGTGCCTGAGCCATTTGAAAATTAATTTGGATACGATTTGGATTTGCCGGAGCATTTTTAAGTCAGTGTGGGAAATGAAAAAAAATTAACAATATGTCACTCCGCACACCAATCCTGGGTCAACTTTTTTCTCAGTGTGCCGCGGGTGCGCCGATTGTGCCGACAGGTACTTTTGACAGCTTCAATGTTTTGATTACTACCTCATGGGAACTGATCGGACCTGATTCTAGATCAGTTGTAATATTTGTTCGCCGGCCCATTGAGGATGACGTGGGAAGTGCTAGGTGTGTGAAATTTGTCTTGTGTTCATAGGATAATAAAATTCGTGTGTATTAGGGCTTTGAATTGCCCTCAAAGGCAGACCGGATACCCAGCCTTTCGTGGTGTGAAACGGTCTATCAGCAGCCGGAAATAGTTGGATCTGGTGGGAAACATTATTGGAGACCGAATATAGAGGGTGATGAGTCGACTTCTGTAGTTCGTTTTGTGTGAGTTGCAGCATTATTTAAATTACGGGTACTATTCGGGTTTCATTAACTGTCTCTTACTCTCAAGCCCTCGCTAGAACCTACATTTTAGATTTAAATCTATAATTGAACCGAGAAGTGAACTACTGGTATATTCAATTAGAAGATTTTCCTGTTCCTGTTCCTGTTCCTGCACGTAATGTTGTAAACTACTTCAATGAGAGTTGTCTAGCAGTGCTCCCATTTTATTTAATGAACAATCCAACGCCTTCAAGATTGTGCTAAAAGTGTACCGATCGATGTGCCCAAGCTGTGCCGAATCAACTTTCCACAAACTGTACTGAGTTACCTACCCCTTGCAATATGAGCTATCTTCGATTGGGCTAACTATGCAGAACAACTTTGTCCAAGACCGCAAATCGTTCTTAATTCTTCTAAATGCAAATTTAATGTTCAGTGAAGAACAGAGGTTTGTGATCACGCCATTTAAACCTGACCCAATTTACCGTCAGTCCAATATGGTGAGTTTTTAAGCCTGGCATTGAACATTATAATGATATAGTCGCTCCGCGCTTACTTAGAAGTAAGGCAGTGTGATGGCCATTAAGTATTTTTCAATATTTTTAAGATCAATTCTGAGTTTGAACATTCGAGTTCATCGCATGCAGTGCTTATATATCTCATTAATTCTTATTGATATTGAGAAAACAGCATTTATCCCTATCACGAGACCATCAAGAGCTTTCATGTAATTTAGTATTCAGTGAAAATTCTGACAGTCCAGCCAGTGGCGTTCATGTGCTTATTGTGTCGGTGTGTAATATGGCTTATCGAAAAATACTCCTCCCGAGATTTTCAACTCCATATCCACCTATCTCCCGAAGACCACGTTACTCACCTTGTTCTACCCGCCACTTTTTTTCGGCGGGTTTTCAACCAGCCGGTCTGATTTTTTTTTTTTTTGTATATGATTAGTGTCAATGAGCGATTGGTTGAAAACTTAGTGGGTAACGCGTTATACCCAAGTACCCAAGTAAACAACATGCCCGTTAATTCGCCAAGGCCTAATATCAGAGCTAATACAGCTTTATATTAGCTGTTTATCAGCCTTATGTTGCAAAGTGGAAAATTATCGGAGTGAAAGTATTTCATTGACGAAGTAACGCATGCGTTATTGACGAAGATATTTATCAGTCAATCCAATAACATTGTCAAAGTATGTCTGCAAGTATCGGGTGAAATCTTTCAACTTTGTGAGTGAGCGTGACATCAAATATTTGCTATTCACCTTTCAACATAACTTTTGATGCGAAGTTCCTGAAGTAATTGAGAAATCAGCCTTAAACATATATTTGAACTACTATGATTGTGAAAAGCCTTCAAGTTATTGGAAAACTGTTTTTAGATTAATTTCCATTCAATTCCACCACTTCCATCCATAACAGATACGTATTTCGACTAGAAGTGATGGCATAATCATTTGCAAATTGACATTATTCCTTTTAATTCCACTAGCTTATTTGCTTATCGTTAACAGATGCGCACATTTCGTCTACAATGTATATACTTTTTCAGTATCTTGTTCTAATACTCGAGTACAAGACACTGAAGAAGTCTGCACATTGTAGACGAAATACGCGTATCTGTCAAGGATAAGCAAATAAGGTAGTGGAATTAAATGGAAATAACTAATTCTTCTCTATCTTTCTTTATACAGGTATTCCACTAAGACGCCTACATTCATCAGTGCATTTTTCCGCTCTCATACGCTCTCAATATCACGCGTGATATTGGAGCAAAATATCATGCTTGATATTGATTTTAAAAGCTCCTTTGATATTGCGAGACCAATCACAACGTGTAAAGTTGAAACTGAGAGTTGAATCGGCGCAAAAATGGCTCCGTTGCACCTCGTTTTCTTAGAAAGAGAAGGTATAATAATGCTATCTCTTTTTTCGCTGCGCCGATGTCAAACACGAAGTGACTGCTGCCAGCCGTTTTAGAAGTTTTGGTTGCGTTCGGGTGTAAATTCAAAATCATGAAACTCAATCTCACCACAGCTTGGTGAGATTTGCAGCTGGTAAGTTTTGTTAGCTTGATATTCCGAGCTGCGATATCACAGTTTGAAATGTCAACTGTAGTTGTTGGCTTGTTGATTTTTGTCTACGAAAATCGAGCGTGATCTTGTTCTTTGGTGAGATTTGATTTTTGATATTTTTCCAGCACTGGCAGTCATCATCAGTGACAATCCCACAGTGGATACAAAATAGTAAGCGGTACGATGCCGGAGGGGATGTCAGCACAAGAAAGGAGTAAGTTCAAACAAACCACTAAAAATCGGTATAGTAGCATGATTGGAATTTGAGACTAGCAGCGACTCTGACTGGGATAGTGAAACAGAAGACCTAGTTCCTTCAGACTTCTCCGGATTCAGTCATGAGAGGAAACGATTCTAGCGAAGAAGAAGTCGGTCCGAGGCAACGACAATAACAACCCACAACCAGAGATGCCAGATCTACGGAAATCTCCGGAGATCTACGGATTTTACAATTTTTTGCGGAAATACGGATCCGTAGGCAAAATCTACGGAATTCGGTACAGTTTCTACAGATTTTTTCTTCAGTGTACGTTTCCCTCCAGAATCGAATTTTACAATCTGATTTTGAAGGCAAAGAAGTAATATACACCTCTACAACTTGTCAACCGTTTTCTTGCTCACTTATTCGCTTTTTGAGTAAACAAACGTCAGACTGTGCGTGAAACATGGCGGCCTCCGTACTATCTCTTCACTCCGTCGAAAGTTCTCATAATATACAGTCAATCTTTGCATGAAGAGAAAAATTTTCGACGGTGCCGTGTGAAGGCGAATAAAAGTCATGTCGAGACCTGTCTTGTAAGCGGTCACCGTAGTCGACACATTTTCTGTGATAATCGACTGCCTTTGCTTCCGACACTTGCAAAACAAGCTTTCAAATTACAGTACCAAACTAAAATGTCATACGACAGGCTCTGTCATACGACACTGTCGCCGAAGACCATCACGGATGTAAGTATTTTAGTTTTTCTGCTGATGTTTTGCTTGTGCAAGCAACGATGTCATAGTAATAACCTTTTTGATCAGAAATGGTTCAATTTACACCAAATTCAGGAATTAGAACGAAATCGCATATGTCATATGATAGTCATTTGATAGTTTTCTTTTTGCTCGAATGTTGTTCTACCGTTTGCGTTATGTAAGAGAGACGACTCTCTCTTCCCCATCAGCTCGATGATGATCAGGCCTTCAACGTGTTCATCAAAAAGCACGTAATCCATAAGTCGTCGTACTTGTCCGGCTTTATAAAGGAAACTACGGTTATTAGATTACGACACCACTGTGTCACCGCTACGGGATCACAATTGATCAGATCGCCATAGATGGTCTTGAAACTCCTGTAGTGGATCCTCAAATTGAGCTGGAAACCATTGCCGTGGATAATGAGACAGAATTGCTGCTTGGGCAACAGCAAACACTCCTTTGGATTGAGAAAAAATGCCTGGAGATCGCTCCCGCGCAAAACAGGGTTCCTGTGTCTTTAATATATGACGAGCACGGCGAAAAGATAGCTTGCTTTTTCCAGCCATTTGTTTCGGCCATCTACGGAAATTCAAGCCAGGGGTTCGGGTGACAAATTTCATGATGACATCCAGTGAAACTCGTCGTCAAGACAGGCGTGTGGCCAAACCAAATTTGTTGTATATGACAATGAAAGTTCTTCGGCTTAGAGTTTCCGAAGGCTTGCAATGTACTTTTAAGTGCACGGCGACCGCAAACATTACACGTGGACCTTAATTAAGGACCGCATTATTCATGGAGCAGTGCATTGAGCGAAATCTATCCTTCCTCAAATCAATACCGATTTCAGTACAGTATTGGCAACAAAGGAAGAGAAATTTGTTCACCATGATGCGACAATTGGGAAAGCCTACGATGTTCCTCACACTCAGTGCAAGTGAGATGAAGTGGCCCATTTGTTGAATCTCTTACATCGGTTGTCAGACGGACACAATGGCAATGACTTAACAGATCCAATCCAGGAATTGACTGCACTACAAAGAGCAACTCTGATGAATGATCATCCAGTCACGTGCTGCGTGTACTTCAACAAGCTGGTTGACACGATTGAATTTCAGCACCGTGGAAGTCCCCACGCGCACATCTTGCTATGGCTGAACAAGCATCCCCGGGAAGTAATCAGTAAAAGTATGCCAAAAACTACAGGTGCAACAGTACCATGGTATTCATGCCTGTACTACTATCGGCCCTTTTCAGAGCCACCAAGATTTCCCAAAAGAGTTAAATTTCTGAACATGTCCCAACTAAAATTCATATCAAAAGCTTCTTTTCGATTGCCCTGAAAAAAAGTATAAACAGAGAGAACCCCGCTCAAATTCCTATTTCTACACAAAACACAAGTCCTGCTGCAGTTAACAAATAACATTTATTATATACAGACCACGTAGTCCGACGTCACCATTGCGTACAACCCCAGAGGACTGTCCCTGGTATTTTTTTTCAAACGTTCTTTCATCGATTTATCATTTAACGTAAAATATCAACTTAGAACTAAAAAAAATAACACCTTCGACTAAAAAAAATCCGTAGAAATCCATAGATTTGAATAAGTCTACGGAATTGCATAGAAAAAAATCTGGCATCTCTGCCCACAACCGATGATTTAGCAACACAAGTAAGTCCAGAATTTCATAGGTAAGTTCACACAATCGTTATATTAGCATGCTATCGTGTTAGCAGTGCCTTTTTAACCACCATTGGTTGTTTCTTTTGGCGTTCGAGTAGCGGATCTATTGGACAGAGCAGGCACAGACAACTGAGCCCCCAAACGGCTGCAATCTGTGGTCTGAACAAAAGAATGTTGTATGTATGAGGTAGCAGTTTGGAAACTAGTTCGTATGCATGGAAAAAATAAACTCTATGTCTCTCTTTTTGTTTTAATTATTAATTTAAAAAAAAATGTTTGAATCGCCTCCGTAAAGCTAACGCGATTGAGCTTTCTAAATAATCGAATGAAAAAAATCTTCTTTCCCGCGGACATTTTGTCCATATACGTCGAAAGTTTCTCCACACTTGTGAAGTGTTTTACGACTCCCTTCGGACGTTTTTTTACTTATTTCACCAGGAAGTTTAGTTTTCCAACTCCCACGCCATCTCCCCAGAAGTATTTTTTTACTTCTTCCGGAAGTTTCTCCTGTTTTTCCGGAAGTTTTTTTCTGACATCCCCCAGAACATAATTCTGACTTTGTCTGAAACCTTCTGATAATTTTCACAGAAAGTTATTTTTCGTTTTTCCCTGGAAGGTGATTCCAACTTCCCTCGGATCATTCATAACTTTTATTGCTGCATTAATTTAGTAACGATTGCATGTTAATTCCCGGGAAAATTTGAGAAATTATTAATTAGAGTAAATAAATCAACCGGAATGTCACAGGTAGAAAACCAACCACCAGAAATGAATTTTGAAAGCTGCCTACGCCCTTGAACGGATTCTATTTTACGCTGATCACATTTTACGTGCTGAATTGGGTGCGAGTAGTAAATATTTACCACTTCCATTGTTCGGAAAATCATTCGAAATCTCATTCATTGCGGTCAACTGAGAAAATCTGCAAACTAAAACTCGCGATCTATTAATTTTTTCGAACCTCCATATGGAATACCTTTATGAAGAGCGTTTTGAGTGTGTTAATTTATTTCCTTTTAATTCCGTTATAATTGGTTATCTTTTGACGTGTACGCGTATTTCGTCTACTACTTGCAGTGGTGTTGAGTACTTGGCACCAGTGCTGAGATTTGTCATTGTCATTGACAGACTTTCGCGCGATATTGACAAAATTGTTCGTCACATACTCACTGACAGACTTGATCCTCAAAAAAACCTTCGTCAAAATCTCATTCATTTTTTCGTCAATGACAAAGATTCACCTGGTAACAAAATGTGTAATTTAGTACATTCTGTGTCACATTATTGTTATCCAAGTAGCTCAGAACGTAGATACTTGTTCACTAAAATGGATCCATGTGATTGTTTTGCTCAAGTCATTTAATTTTGTAGCAAATTTAGCTAATAAACATATCTTCACATGTTCGTCACTGACACCATTGTCATTGACAATTGACATGGTTTGCCTTGACTATGACTGTTGGCTCAAATGGGTGACCAAAGCAGAATTGTCAATATCACCGTGTACTGTCGAGATTTTGCAGCACTGCTTGGCACTGATGAAGTCTGCAATTAGAAGCAGTGCTGTAAATTTTCATATCATTCGATTGAAGATGAACCAATACAACCATTCAATCAATTCTGTGTAAACGAATTCTCACATGACGATAATTTGAAGAGCCCCTTTCTCATTCAAAGCTCATTGTCACTGTCAATTGAGTCACTCAGTATCATTTGATATACGACAGTGGAGTATGGAAGAAATCCAGAAAAATGGTCCCGAACAGACAAGTCGACCCGATGTCGGATCAATGTAAGGCTAATTTAAGGTCGATGTCGACCCAATGTCGTGTTGTTGTCGGGTTAATTTTGAGTTTATGTCAGGTCAATGTCGGGTCAACATCGGGTTGGGGTTTGATAGAAGTCATGTTGGTGTCGGGTTGGCTTCGCTTTTTTGCCGGAATGTCGACCAGAGCTCCGTTTGTGTGTAGGTTACACTCAATTGAATGATATATAGCGTTTCTCAGATGAGAATGATCCATGCCTTCGTCAAATGACTAAGCAACTGATATCACCAATTCGGAGGAGGTCCCCTTTGATAGCGAATAGCTACTTTTCTCATTTTCATCAAAAATGTTCAAATGATTTTGAGAATTTACAGCACTGATTAGAAGACGAAATACGCGTATCTGTCAAAATACAAGCAATCATGACGGAATTAAAAGGAATAATTTACGCACTCAAAAAGCTCTTCAACAACTTACGCTTAAGATTATCTGACAACGTCAAAAATTAAAAACACTCATAACGACACAAATTTATTCTAGCTTAAACCTCTTCAAAATCTCCCAAACGACAATCGATAGCATGCTCCTGCATGTTTTGTTAGTTTTCCATTAAATAATGCAAAAGCAATGAACCCAAATATAAAGCAATGCATTTTTGACCCGGAAATTAACGCAAGGCAAAACTGATTGGTGATAAACTCAAGCATGAACTTTGATTTATTTAAAGTTTTTGGGAACACTGCTTCTTACCTGTTTCGTTTTGCTGTTCTCCCCACCGAGAATACTCACTTGATTGATGAAATTTAAACTAATTTCGTGATCTAACCCTACATAAGATCTTCATTATGAAAGTCAAACGTCATGGTTATTTATTATTTTTCTATAAATGTTATAAATGATAAAATTTCTCTCACTTTAGTCACATTTATATAGTAGTATCCATAATAAAAAAAAGTCTACTCAGTGAAAAAGATCATCAAAGATGGTCCCTTCACTCCCAATTTTTTGACGTTGGAATTTGAGAGTTAAAGTCATATATGAAAAAAAATTCAATTGATGATGGTAGATTTTAAGGGAACTGGACGATTCCTGCCTTTATAATTTTTTTAACTCAATGACGATTTCCTTATTTCTCCGAAATCAACTTTTGGAAAATGATTAGCACAATAAATGTACATCCAATATTGTTCAAAACTATTCCTTACGATGGGAGTCCTTTAAAAAAAAGAAAAGAAAAATTTAACTGCAAATACCTTACCACTGTAATGCACCCCCTTTAGGGTCAAATAAATATTTTTTTGGTAAATTTGCAGAACATTCTAATGCAACACTAAAAGCATTTACGTTAGATTATAATCTGATCATTATAATAACAATTCAATGTGAATTTGGTTCCGTTGCAATATTAACGTCCTTCCTTGTGAAATTCAATATTAATTATAGAAGAAGGTTCCCACGCAATGTTGAATATGACTTTTTTTTTTCATGATGTTGGCCAGACATTTCTGGATGCTGCATCCTGCTGGTGAATAATAAATTATCAATCAACTCACCACTTCCACCTCTTCGAAAGCTTTGCGTCCTTATCTGAACATGCTTATCTTAATTGCAGTATATATTTGATATAATTGATTGTTGTTGTTGTGGTTACAGTGTGTGTTGTGATGTGGTTAGTAAGATCTACAACGTTATCTTAGGAACTAGAAAGTGTGATATTGATATTTTTTACTCATGCTTTTAATCTTTCTGTCTCAACAGTATAACGTAGATTATATTTTGATATTTCATAACGACATCATCAGGTTTTTCATTTGTGGAATCCTTTAAGAACATCTATATACATAAATAAGTGCGGCTGAACTGCAAAATTGCACTGGTAAGACATGCTTAGACTACGTAGAACGACGTCGGATATGGATATGATGCCCCGTTATGGGAAGTTCTTCATCTTCCGTTTGGAGGCCATTATCTTCGATAATTGTGGTTGTGATATTCATGACGATGGTGATGATTCTGGTGCAACGGATCCAAGCACCGGGACCGGATCCTATTCCTGGTCGACTGTGATAAGAATCAAACGCTCTTAGTGGATCGGCGGTACGATGTCGTGTTTGTCATCCTCATCACTAACGTACATCCGAGTCAAGTCAGAAGCAACCGATGCGGTATCGCAGGCACTGTGCAATGGTAAACGAGTTAGCAAAATCAAACCATCAAGAACCCGGTGTTCGCTCCGGGAAGCTGTCAAGGACTGTCACGTATATACAGCAGATTATGTCACAACCAACCCGAATGCAAATACTAGCAAATTTCGTTTCTAGGAAATTTCAAAATCTGCAGTGCGATGCAGAATGTGATCAATCTAAATGCGGAGTTATTTTTAAGCTTGGTGTGGATTAGGTTTTGTTGTGTGGATCACAATTCATATTCAATGTGAAATGATAGCATGACAAAATTTCAAATGCAGTGTGCAGGAATGATGAAAATTGTGCTCCGATATGGTGCTTCCTTTGCAAAAAAAATGAAGCAGCCTATTGTGGATTGAGTTCGTGCTCGAATTCCTACGATGTGATTGGTTTCAACGTTTAAACGTCACCATAAAGTATGGGTTTCAAAGAGAGCACAACTGAAATGATGAAATTTATCCGATTCATAATTCGCCGCATTCGCTGCTGAGGGCGGTATGAAATAATGATTTTTTATTTTGTTTTCACCATTTAGAGCATCATTCACTTTATTTTTCTGCATCCACCGTTTCAGGAAGACCCACAATTCAATTAATAATCAAATACAAACTGAGAACACCATCCGATGCGTATATCAGAATTTCAATAACTGATAATCCGCTTATGTAAAATAGGAACCATAAAAAGCCTTCTGCACTGTGGTTTCATTTGTCGTTTCATTTGATATATATATTTTTGTTCATCCGTCAATAGAAAATCCAATCATCGTGCCGGTTCAACAAGAATGAAATCTCGTTCACTTTTCATATAGATCAATGTAACATATCCACCATTTTGAGAAAATCGAAGTTAAAGTTCGACAGATTATTATTTTAACTGTTTAGAAACAATACTTTTTGCAATACTATTTTTACTGTAGTCAGTGAATAATAACGTTAAAAATTCAGCAGAAACGGCAAAATCGAAAATTTGAATTTGATGTTACAGTTTATAGAAAAAAAAACGCATAAGACGTTTTGACTAGTCAAGTTTTACATCGGATGTGTTCCATTGGACGATTTTTCTCAATGAGTGTTACATTGGACGTTTTGTTCTACATGATACTAGATTCCCTTTCACAGATTTCAGATTAGAGTACCAAACTTTAGATTGGCCCCGCTTTTAGAAAATGAGCACCAATCATGTTAGGCTGTCCAAATGACCGAAGTAACAATCATGTGCCCATCAGTCCGCATCGTGCTCTCTTGCCGTGCGGATCTATTTGCTTTCTGCTGAAGGAAGTGTTACTACTACCTAAAGCTACAACAAATTTAAACAGCACTTTTCAGTGCTCAACCTGTAAAAAATTTTCTACCTTGTTCAACTCTTATTCCTCTTCGATCCTTGTTTGGACCCTACCCGAGGTAATCCTTCTTGGATATCGATTTGGAAAATTCCTCTTCGATCCTTCAGATTCTTATAGTAATCTGCTTGGAAGTCGATTTGGATAAAAATTTACTGCCGCCATGGCGCCTAAACGCAAAAGAAAGGGGCAAACTCTTGACCCCCCTTCTGATGAAATTAATTTGAGTAATCAATTTGATTTGCTCACGGATGATGAGAATGATCCATCATCCAAGAAAAATTCTAGTAAACTTTCCCGGCTTAATGCCAAGAAGGAAAAGATTCCCCCTATTGTGATTACCACTTCCGATTTCCATGCTCTTCGCATGGAACTTTTGAATTTCGTGAAAGTTAAGTTTTCACTACAAATTGGACGTCGGGGTGAATGCCGTGTATTGTCTGAAACCTTGGACGGATTTAAATGTCTTCTCAAGTATCTTACTGAGAAGAAGCACAAATTTTTTACTTACGACACCAAAACTGAACGTGTGTTCAAGGTTGTCATGAAAGGACTGCCCAGTGGCGAATCCCTGGATCAGATCAAAGATGAACTGGCAAAATTACTTGGAGTTGTGCCACTCCAAGTAATCAAAATGAAAATGAAATCCCGTCCTGGCGATTCGCGCAACGGGATTTCTAATGATTTTTATTTAGTTCACTTCAAGTCTAGTGAACTAAACAACCTTAAGGCCTTAGAAAAAGCTAGCCTTATGCTCCATGTCCGAGTGAAGTGGGAACACTTCAGGAAGACTGGAGGAAATTTCCAAAACCTCACCCAGTGCCGTAAGTGCCAGGGATGGGGTCACGGAACTAAAAATTGCTACATGCCAGCTAAATGCATGAATTGTGGTGATTCCTCTCACGCAAAGGACGACTGTCCTGTGAAGGAAGATCCTAAGAAATTTAAATGTTCAAATTGTGGTGAAAACCACAAATCCAATTTTTGGGAATGTAAGACTCGCAAAGCGATCCTACAATCTCGTTCTAGCCGTCAGGTAGGAAACGCTCCACGTTTCCGACCAGGTACAAATTCCTCTGCTGTTAACAACGGTCAGCGAGGAACAAATTCTACATTCGTACCCGTAGGTACAAATATCTCCCCTGCTTCAAATGTTTCATCTGTACCTACTCCCCTCGCTGCTAACAATGTTCAGCGAGTTAATGGAGCTACCTATGCTGCTATTGCAACGGGTAGAAATCAAAATACTAACCAACGTTCTAACGGAAATTTTGACAATTTTGACTTAGGAAGCATTACTGCCCCCAAAATGGAATTTTTACAGAATTCATTAATTGACATGATTTCTGATATGCTTAAATCTAACTCCATGTTTGATGCTATTCAAACTGGAGTAAAATTTGCAAATAATATTGTCATGACTTTAAAATTCAGTAATGGATTTTAAAGCATTAAATATTGTAAATTGGAATGCTCGATCTCTTAAAGATAATGAAGACGAGCTATTTAATTTTTTAAGAGTTCATAACGTGCATATTGCCGTTATAACTGAAACGTTCCTTAAACCTGACCATAAGGTTAAGAAGGACGCAAATTACTTGATTTATAGAAATGATCGTCTTGATGGACCCTGTGGTGGCGTTGCCATCATTATTCATAGACGAATCAAACATAAAATTCTTTCTTCATTTGAAACCAAAGTTTTTGAAACTTTGGGGGTTTCTGTTGAAACAAAATTTGGACAACTTACGTTTATAGCTGCCTATTTGCCATTCCAATGCGTAGGCCAGCAAAAGAATTTTCTCAAGGGTGACCTCCAGAAACTTACCCGTCATAGGTCTAAATTCTTCATTATTGGTGATTTTAATGCAAAACACCGCTCATGGAATAATGCTCAAAGCAATTCCAATGGTAATATTCTGTTTGATGATTGCTCTGCAGGTTATTACACTATTCAATATCCAAACAGCCCAACATGCTTTTCTTCTGCAAGAAATCCCTCCACTATTGATTTGGTCTTAACTGATTCATGTCAACTTTGTAGCCAATTGGTTACCCATGCTGACTTCGGTTCTGATCACCTTCCAGTAACTTTTGAAATATCCCAAGAAATAATTTGTAATCCCAACAGCTCTACTTTCAATTACCATAGAGCTGATTGGGAGCAGTATCGAACATTTATGGAATATAACTTCGATCCAAACATTCCTTTGCAAACCAAAGATGAAATTAATTATGCTCTTGAATCTCTGACTACTTCTATAGTTGAAGCAAGAGCTGCCTCAGTACCAAAATGCGAGGTTAAATTCGATTCAATTATAATAGACGATGATCTTCAGCTCTTGATCCGTCTTAAAAATGTCCGTAGGAGACAATATCAAAGAACACGCGATCCTGCCATGAAAGTTATCTGGCGGGATTTGCAAAAACAAATTAAAAAGCGATTCTCTGCCCTGAGGAACAAAACTTTTGAAAATAATATTTCTAAATTAGACCCGAGTTCCAAACCCTTTTGGAAACTCACAAAAATTTTGAAAAAACCTCAAAAGCCAATTCCAGCGCTTAAAGAAGGTGGTAAAATTTTGATCACAAATTTGGAAAAAGCTCAGAAACTTGCTAAGCAATTCGAGAGTTCCCATAATTTCAGTTTGGGTCTTACTAGTCCTATTGAGAATCAGGTTGCTCGGGATTTTCTGAATATTTTCTCTCGGGAAAATATTTTTGATGATTCCTGGGGGACTGATTTGGACGAAGTAAGGTCTATAACTAAAAAATTTCAAAATATGAAAGCTCCAGGTGATGATGGAATTTTCTATATCCTCATCAAAAAACTCCCAGAGAGTACCTTGTCTTTCTTGGTAAAATTATTTAACAGATGTTTCCATTTGGCATACTTTCCTGATAAATGGAAAAATGCAAAAGTTATTCCAATTTTGAAGCCGGATAAAAATCCAGCTGAAGCTTCTAGCTACCGTCCAATAAGTTTGCTTTCTTCAATAAGTAAACTTTTTGAAAAGATAATTTTAAATAGAATGATGCTTCACATCAATACGAACTCAATTTTTGCAGATGAGCAGTTTGGATTTCGCCATGGGCATTCAACTACTCATCAACTCTTAAGAGTTACCAATTTAATTCGTTCAAACAAATCTGAAGGCCACTCAACTGGAGTTGCTCTTCTAGACATAGAAAAAGCATTCGACAGTGTTTGGCATGAAGGTTTGATTGCTAAATTGAAAAAGTTTAATTTTCCACTTTATATTATGAAATTAGTTCAAAATTATTTAACTGACAGAACTCTTCAAGTAAATTATCAAAATTCCAAATCTAATCGACTACCTGTTAGGGCAGGAGTTCCTCAGGGTAGCATTCTTGGGCCTATATTGTATAACATTTTCACTTCGGACCTCCCTGATTTGCCTCAGGGTTGCCACAAATCTTTGTTCGCTGATGACACAGGCATTTCCGCTAAAGGAAGAAGTCTTCGTGTTATTTGCAGCAGACTGCAGAAAAGTTTAGATATTTTCTCTTCTTATTTACAAAAATGGAAGATTTCTCCCAACGCTTCCAAAACTCAACTTATAATATTTCCACATAAGCCTAGAGCTTCGTTTTTGAAACCTAGTAGTAGTCACATAGTCACTATGAACGGAGTTCCAATTTCCTGGTCAAACCAAGTGAAATATCTTGGATTAATACTTGACCAAAAATTAACTTTTAAAGATCACATTGAGGGCATTCAAGCCAAATGTAACAAATATATAAAATGTTTGTATCCTCTTATAAACAGGAAATCCAAACTTTGCCTGACGAATAAACTTCTAATATTTAAACAAGTTTTTAGACCGGCCATGCTTTACGCTGTGCCAATATGGTCTAGTTGCTGCACTACCAGGAAAAAAGCACTTCAAAGGATTCAGAACAAAATTCTGAAAATGATTTTGAAGTTGCCTCCCTGGTACAGTACAACCGAAGTACATAGAATTTCGAATGTTGAGACTTTAGCACAAATGTCCAACAAAATAATTAATAATTTCAGGCAAAAATCGTTGCAATCCTCAATTGCAACGATTAATTCCCTTTATACTTAGATAAGATTTAGTTTTAGTTTTTAGTTTTAAGATATCAATTGTTATACTGACATGCAGGTTAAAAAACCTGTTTAAAATACTGAATTGCCAAGACATGAACAATGTAAAAACACTTAGATATATATCATAACAATTAAGGCTGGTACGTTACTGCAGTAACTGGAGCACCTAGGTTAAAATGAAATGTAATTTATTTTGAATTTAGAACAAATAAAGAGTTAAAAAAAAAAAAAAATCATGTGCCCATTATTTCAAACTGTGCAGTGAACAATTTTCGACCAATGATTATCTTAAATAAATGGAAGTAAATTTGGATGGTTGTTTTTGTATCACATACAATTAAAGAAGAGCAATCGTTTGTATCGCTTAACACAATTTGTTTACATTTGTTACTTAGGACCTTTTGAAAAGTGACGCGAGAAATCGCTGATTTTCGATTGTTCGTGTGGAAATGAAACATGGATGATTAATGCAGGGGAAGCTGCAGGTTCGAGTACATTTTTTTACTAACTATCTCACTCTTATCAGTCTACACACTAAGAAATAACTAATTTTACACGTGAGGGAATCCGTTTTCGATGCAAAATATGAGACGTAAACAAACATGTCTTGTAATATGAAGTGCTCCGAGACTGAAAAGTTCGTTGCTCGACGAAAAGTACATTTGATTGAGCTTAATTTCGCGATTAATATGACTCAACTTTATGTCGAAATTGACGCTCGTATATGTCACTCTCAGAGCACCTAAATTTAGGTGAACTTTTCTAGGTGTGTAAATACCAATTATATGCTGAAGCAATATGATAAACATTATCAAATCATTTATCACACAACGGGACCAAAAGAATTTGCACTCACTTAGAAAAATTTATGTAAATTTAGGTGTTTAAACGAGCGTAAATTTTAACATAAAATGGAGTCATAATAGACGCCAAATTCAGCTCAATCAAACGTACTTTTGAACTTTTCAGACTCAGAGTACTTAATTTTACATGACATGTTTCTTTACGTCTCATCCTTTATGTCAAAGATGGATTCCGTGTAAAATTAAGTATTTCTAAGGCCGTTCGCAATGCTGAGTTTCAAAATTGTTTTAAACTCCTCGACAATTCTATAATTTGAAACTGTCAAAAATAAAACTGCAACACGATCAGCGCAACGCACAGTTCTAAAAGATGTTTGTAATCATCAAGTTCCATAAACTTTACTGTTTTCTATGAAGTTCATAGAGTTGTTTGTGAAGCTCTTCGAAACATCTTTAAATACATACAAAGAAATTTGAAACAGAGTTCCATTCGTGTTTCAAACTCGCTCAGAAATAAAACAGAATAGTCGAGCAGTTGCAAATCTGGTGCAAAATAGTGCTCGAATAATGAAACTGCAACTCAGCATTGCGAAAGGTGCGTTTCTGTTCTAGTTTCAAATTGAAACAATCCTTATAAAATACAACAGCATTGCGAACGGCCTAAGTGTGCATAGCAAAACCTGGTCAAAGACATCGAACTCCCATATTTTTTCGAGCTCTCTTGCATGTCATTAAAATCAAGTTTAAAATCCTAGTTTTCGATGATAACAAAATTATATAAATCAAAACAACAGAATATCCACAGACGAACAGACATAACACATTGCATATTTCTCACTGTAAAAGATTGTCGCTAAGACATTACTGTCATCTGTTTAGTACACTGTGGTGGGCACTACGCTGAACAGATGGCGGTAGTGTGTAAACGTCAAACGTAACGGTGGCGGTACTACCAACTACGATACTTTTAAATTGTCCGTTAAATCGGAGACAACATATCAAGAAGACTGGCAGCTTTGCCTGAATCCAAGCGACAGACACAGTAGCGCTGCGCTCGAGCAAAGGTGGAAGCAACGCATAGGAAAATGAACAAATACACAAACCTTTATTCTGAGGATTAAACCATTGCTATCCAACTCGTTCGGAGCATTTACCTTTGAGCGGCAGATCTGGCTTTCTCATACCGGACGTATAAGAAAATGGAAGAGTTGCCAGTCTTCTTGATATATTGTCTTCGGTTACATGCTTGTTCTACACAGATAAAAATTCTGAATTTTAATAGTGATGTAAACATTCATTCACGTAAACTTCTATTTCATTTCACGCAACCGAGCAACTTGTAAACAATGTTGTTTACAACAATGGGCTTTTGTATACAATATTTGCTACATTGCATGAAATGTCTCAGAACTTTACATGATATATCATGTAAACTTATATGATATGTGACGCTCCATTTAAGTGCATCATACTGAAGAGAAATTTACATTACTTTTTCGAACTGTGTATGAACAACTTGTGAGTGTTATGTCTGTTTGTCTGTCGAATATCATTTAGTTTCCATGCCATGCTCGCATTTAAAAACAAACGCTGTTCGTTGTACATTTATGCAAAAAACATGGAACCAATTTTCAACACACAATTCATGTGAAAGGTAAGTAAAACTATCAAACCTACACACTACTAAAAAGTCATGTAAATTTCGGTTCCCTGAGACAGACACATGTAAGCGGGCGTTTTGACATAAGAATCAGTTGAAAGAAACGTGAAAATCAATTCAATCATACGTTCTCTTCGTCGACTAGCTGATGTTTCGGTTTGAGATTTTACATGAAATGTTTGTTTACGTTCTATGATTTACGTCCAATATGGATTATGTCTCGTGTTAAAGTTGTTATTTCTAAGTGTGTACCAAATATTATTGTTCAATGCTCAAATATAAACGCGCACGCTTCCGATAGCAGATTCCCATCAACTCGTTTAACGTTGTGAATGCTCTGAGAGCACTGCTATACCTGTCAGTGAAATGATGAAAAGTGCACTAATGTTCTTTTATTTTTATTTCAGTGAGTAGTATTAATTTTATAAAGTTTATAAGAGGTGAACCAGCCAGTGATGTAAAGCCTCTATATAATAATATAGTTCATTTACGAAGTATCAGTCTGTACCAATCCTTTCAGATAAGAAGGAGCACCTAACTACGATGTAAACTTGAAATACAGTGAATAAAATCTTATGCAAATGAAGCATATTTGACAGGGAGAATGGAAAAGCTCGCCTAGTTAACTATGTTTTGCGCAACATCAAATACAGCGAGATAAGCTGGGATTTATAACCCAGTTATTTTTCAAATCATTTTCTTAAAGACCAGATTTTGCTGTGTGCACTCTTTAGATCAAACAGCAGGGGACCGTAAAGGTCAAGACTGGGAATCTCCGGCAGTATTCAACTGTACTGAAGATAACTATCGTTCTTTTTTTTCCGTTGAGGTCTTCCCTCGCCATGCGACGGCGCTCCTTTCAGAGCTCTTGTGCCGGAGTGCAATTAACTCCACTGCTCAAATCAATTTCAGCACTCAACAAAGATAACCATCGGCAATTGCACATTGTGTTTGCATTGTGACGAAATATGATGACTGTGACTTACAAAGTCTGCCAGAAAGGAAACCCGACTTACCTAACAACGTCATGCTCCTCCAGACATGGTCCATCGGTGTGATCCAGCTCGTCGTCATCATCATCATCATCGACCACGGGTAGTTCATCGTTCATTTCGCCGTTTGATGCTTCCACAATGACTGAAAGATCGTGCTTTAGTCTGGTCTGAGTGGTTGGTTTTCCATTCGCTTTGCCGTTCGGGTGGGTGGCGTTAGCAAGGCCTACTGCCTTCGATGAATGCGACATATCCATCGTCCGTTTACTGATGGGGATGGGGGGAGAGAAAAATAAACGAAACTGGTTGTAGAAATGCAGGCGTTTGCGAATCTTTGTGTTTATATCGTTTACGACTCAAATTTCAAGTGGGAGCACTGCTCAGCTCCGCCTAGGCTACTGCTGAACGGTTTTTTACATCTCCAGAGATACGACCACATTCAGCAGCAGAGATATAATTTCTTTGTCAGAGATGGCAAGTGGTGTAATACTGCTGTTGCTATGGTATTTTGTTTCGTAGCTCTGATTCAAACCACTTGCCTCATCTAGTGTAGCTGGTTTTCGAAAAGCATCTAATTTAAAACTATGCCGCTCGGAGAGACACTAAATTCATTAGTCCTCCTTTTCAGTTTTATATCTCTAATGCTTAAAAAATCCTCAACCGCATTGACATGGTTTGAGAGCCGGCAAAACGCTCGGAAAAATAATCGTAAACAGTTAAGAAGAAGAAAGGTTAAATCATGACATTCTGAAAAACTTGAATTTATTCAACTACAGCGTAATCCGACCCTTTCTTCTTTCGAATTCCTACAAAAATGCTCAAGTTCGCATTCATGGAAGAGAATAACGATTACCGTTAAACGGGGTATCTTTGATAATGTGGGTAGCTTTGAAAGTACAATAAAATGATTAAACTTACTCTCTGCGCTTTCTCCGAATTGGAAACATTGGTTCTTTATTGTAGCTTAGGTTATTTTCGTTGATATCGTAAACAGTTTTTATACAGTACTAGCTGAGTGTGCCCGGCCTTGCTCGGGATTTGATATTGGCTTGAGTTTATGCGCTGATAAAAAGGCATGCCACATATTTGTTTCATTTGTATGAGAGTAAGCATTATAAGAACCTTTCACGCCGATCGGTTCAGTAGTTTCCGAGTCTATAAGGGTCAGACAGACAGACAGAAATTCATTTTTATAAATATAGATGAGTTACATTTTTTACAAACATTCTAAAAAAACTATTTTCTTGTTTTTCACCTTTTTGAAAAGCACTCAAACCAAAACTTCCCCTCCCCCCCCCCCCTCCCAATCAGGCTAAGGCCTTGTTGTCCTCTGCTGTCCGAAGAAGTCGTCTCCACTCTACTCGATCCATGGCCACAGTTCGCCAGCCTCGTAGTCTGCGAAGGGTCCGCAGGTCACCTTCTACTTGGTCGATCCACCTTGCCCGCTGCGCGCCTCTTCTTCTTGTTCCTGTTGGGTCGCTTTCTAGAACCATTTTCACTGGGTCGTCGTGCGGCATTCTTACGACGTGCCCAGCCCACCGTAGTCGCCCAATTTTTGCAATGTGGACGATGGATGGTTCTCCCAGCAGCTGGTGCAATTCGTGGTTCATTCGCCTCCTCCACGTTCCGTCATCCATCTGCACTACACCGTAGATGGTACGCAACACCTTCCGTTCGAAAACACCAAGGGCGCGTTGGTCGTCCACGAGCATAGTCCAGGTCTCGTGGCCGTAAAGGACCACCGGTCTAATCAGCGTCTTGTAGACAGTCAACTTCGTGCGGCGGCGAATTTTATTCGACCGAAGCGTCCTCCGGAGTCCAAAGTAGGCACGATTCCCTGCCATAATGCGTCTTTGAATTTCTCTGCTGGTATCATTTTCGGCGGTCACCAGTGAGCCCAAATACACGAACTCATCGACCACCTCGATTTCGTCACCGTCAATCTGAACTCGGGGTGGGAGGCTAACATTGTCTTCCCTAGAACCTCTTGCTTTCATATATTTTGTCTTTGATGCGTTGATGGCAAGTCCAATCCGTCTAGCTTCAGCCTTCAGTCTGATGTACGTTTCCGCCATCATCTCAAAGTTCCGTGCCATAATGTCAATGTCATCGGCGAAACCAAGGAGCTGGATGGACTTCCTGAATATCGTGCCACTCGTGTCTATCCCAGCTCTTCTGATCACACCTTCTAACGCGATGTTGAACAGAAGACACGAAAGTCCATCACCCTGCCGTAACCCCCTTCAAGATTCAGAAGGACTCGAGAGTGTCCCCGATACTCGAACAACGCACATCACTCGATCCATCGTCGCCTTGACCAATCGCGTCAGTTTATCCGGAAATCCGTTCTCGTGCATAATCTGCCATAGCTGATCTCGATCGATTGTGTCGTATGCGGATTTGAAATCGATGAACAAATGATGTGTGGGCACGTTGTATTCGCGGCATTTCTGCAGAACCTGCCGAATCGCGAAAATTTGGTCCGTGGTAGCGCGGGCACCCATGAATCCCGCCTGGTATTGCCCCACGAACTCTCTTGCATATGGTGACAGACGGCGGCATAGAATTTGGGAGAGTACCTTGTAGGCGGCGCTCAGCAGTGTGATCGCGCGGTAGTTGCAGCAATCCAACTTGTCGCCCTTTTTGTAGATTGGGCATACGACACCTTCCATCCACTCCTCCGGTAATATCTCCTCCTCCCAAATCTTGGCAATTACCCAGTGCAGCGCTCTAGCCAGTGCTTCACCACCGTATTTCAATAGCTCACTTGGTAGTTGATCTACACCAGTTGCTTTGTTGTTCTTCAGCCGACCGATCTCCTCCTCAACTTCTTGAAGATCAGGGGCCGGTAGCCTGTCGTCTTCTGCGCGTGCTCCAAGGTCTGTTGCCGTGCCACCTTCGTTTTCTGCTGCTTCACCGTTGAGGTGCTCGTCATAGTACTGCTTCCACCTCTCAATCACCTCACACTCGTTCGTGAGAAGGTTACCGTCCAAGTCCTTGCACATATCGGCTTGCGGCACGTAGCCTTTGCGCGAACTATTTAGCTTCTCGTAGAACTTCCGTGTGTCGTTTACGCGGTACAGATTTTCCATCGCCTCGCGATCTCGATCTTCCTGCTGACGCTTCTTCCTTCGGAAAACCGAGTTTTGTCTGTTCCGCGCTTGTCTGTATCGCTCGACATTCAATCTCGTGCGGTGTTGCAGCATTCTCGCCCGTGCTGCATTCTTCTCCTCTACTAACAGTTTGCATTCGCCGTCAAACCAGTCATTTCTTCGGTCCGGGATTGCAGTCCTAGTGCCGCTACAGCAGTACTACCTATGGCTGAACGGATGTCCCTCCAGCCATCTTCAAGAGAAGCTGCGCCAAGCTGCTCTTCCGTGGGTAGTGCAACTTCCAGCTGCTGCGCGTAGTCCTGGGCAACTCCGGTGTCCCGTAGTTGCTCAATGTTGGGTCGTGGCGTTCGACTTCGACGTGTGTTATGCACCGTCGAGAGTTTTGAGCGCATGCATACTGCAACTAGGTAGTGGTCAGAATCTATGTTCGCACTGCGGTACGTGCGGACGTTGATAATGTCGGAGAAGAATTTCCCGTCGATTAGAACGTGATCGATTTGGTTTTCTGTGTGTTGGTCAGGTGATCTCCAGGTGGCTTTGTGGATATCCTTGCGGGGGAAAAAGGTACTTCGAACTACCATACCCCGGGAGGCTGCAAAGTTCACGCATCGTTGGCCGTTATCGTTCGATACGGCATGCAGGCTGTTTGGCCCGATTGCCGGTCTATACATTGCCTCCCGTCCTACCTGAGCGTTCATGTCGCCGATGACGATTTTGACGTCCCAAAACTTAAGAAATGTATTTCCGATACAGCCATCACAAATACAATGTTATGCTTATGACGTTTTTTGATTATATACCCACTCAAAGTTTCATATTTCAAGAATTAAATTGTTTGAGCTTAACGCGTGTTTTTCTACATTCATCGAGAATTATCAAAGTAACCCCAAATCATTTTAGTGATGTTCGGTCACAAGACTAAAAAATAGTGCAAATACTTTAATTTCCATTAAACATATTACTTACTTGACTCTAGGATCCACAGTATTGTAATTGATGTAAAAACATTTTGAATATACTTAAAAAAAAAACTAACTTACGCAAAGTTACCCCGTTTTAAGGTACATCTTAATGATATGAGTCTGTGTTGAATAATATAGGCTAATGTATCACATGATGGGATTTAGTTGCTCTTTTGGAGCAACCCGTATGATCGCCTGAAATCCAAAAGCTCAACAGTATCGAAAAGTCTTACAAATTTCAAACAAATTAAAGTAACTTATAAAGACAAAATTGCGGAAAAGTTACAAAAACGACAAAATGATAGTAAAAGTGCCAGAGTTATTTGAAAGCACTCAAAGTGTACTCCCCATTCTTTTATCGCATGGTTACATTTCCCGAGTAACACACTTTAATCACAATAAGTTACAGCAACTTGTTTATGACTGGAATAAGTCGTATATAAGTTTCTACAATTGATTTGTGGCAAGCGTGCTACTAGGGTTAGAAATATGTTGTGGATAATGTGATTTTGATCCTTTGAAACCAGTTGCATTTAATTTTAGTGTAATTTGAAGTAGGGGAAGCCGACTGCTTTCTCACTCCAGTGGGTCTGTGTTAAATCTCAGCCAAAGTCGGTGGGATTTTTCTGAGGCATAAAAATCTCTGGTCACGTCTTCCTTCGGAAGTAAAGTAAAGTCGTTGGGCCTGACCCATGTGTGTTGATGGGTGCGATATTAGGGTGGGGCTTATTTTTCAAAATCTTTCGGGGACACGTTTTCTCATGTGGAAAATGATTACTAGGGCCAAACGAACAACATATCCAAAAAATGAGCGTTTTTCGTTAAGATTTAGAGGTGGCGCCAGAGGCCTAAGTCCAATATATCGAACGAAGCTGATTTTCGAACAAATCTAGTGCGTTTTTAGTAAACACGTGATTTCGTTACCCTAAATGGCAAAAATGTTGTCCGTTTGGTGATATCTTTAACCATTTTCGAGATATACGGCATAGCAGGTTTGTACTTACACCCACGAATATGATCTAGCGCAAACAGTATTCTTGGCAGTGCTAGATACAGTGAGCGTATGAATACGATACAGATCGAGCGAGAACGCGAGAGTGTGAGAGAAAGCAAGAGACGAGAGTGAGAGAGAGAGAGAGAGCGAGAGAAGAGAGTGAGAGAGAGAGCGCCACCTCTAAATCTTAACGAAAAA